GTAGGTTTGGGAACCTTAATGGATTACATCTGTCTAAAAGGACATTGTTTCGGCATCTATACGGAGGGTTTCATCAGGTCGACCTGATAATTACTGAGGAGAAAACCATCCGGATCTTAGGTTAAAAACTGATATATGTGTACACGCATAAAATCGACCACTAACTAAGTGATGTAAGAAAATTGTAGTGATTCTGGAAATCGAACTCTTCATCTCTCTGCCACATGTTCACGTATTCATATTGGCTGAAGAATGTATAATTAAAATTTTACTAATTAAATACAGTTTATATTCATAATATTTCATTTCTGAAGTCAGAAAATTTTAATTAACAATCGGTTAGCTAATGAATAATCTCACTTGATTAAATTGATCTCATTTAAAATAATCTAGAAAATTTATCCACGATTTTTTCTTTGTGTCCTTGAAATTAAACTTATTATCTGTGTGGTCTACCTCACAATTCTGTAACCTTATATATGCAACTTAGTATACATTCTAATGAAGCAATATTTGAAAATTTGATAAAGCTAACTTGTTTAAAATATTAATTAAACTATCCACATGATCAACATTTTAAAATATACAACTTGAATGCCATCTGTTTTTGAGACCATTGACTGTTTTAGAATAAAGATTTAAACTTTTATTTTTTAAAACACGTAAGCAATATGATTAAATTTTGCACAAGTCCATAAAGTTACCACTAACTCATTGAGGAACATGTGTTCTTCTGTCTAATATCAAAATTTCTAATGGTGTTTTCAGTCCACTGAAAGATGTAACATTTCATTAATCTTCCTGTATGTCGTGCGTTACTCTTCTTTCTTATATTAAGTTTACAGAAAAGCAAACAGTTAGTGAAAGTTAGCATAATTAACCAGTTTCCTTGAAACAAATTAATATTAGGGACCTTTATCTAAAGCCTTTAGACTATAAGATATTAAAATTTTTTGCGAAATATCATATATATACTAAATAAACGATAAGGTGACAAAAAGTATAATGATATCTGTATAAATCTACTCTGTCTACCGTGTGCAAAATTATTACTTTATGCGAAAGTAATAATGAAATGAAAATGTATTTAATTTCGTTTAAAGCAATTACTTCTTACTTAGAAACTTAAAAAATGTCAAGAGCTCTTAATTTAACTTATTTAAATAATAAAATTCCTATCTATTATGCAAAGTTACACGTAACTTGTATTGTGTTTACAAAATGTGATGAGCTGTATATTTCATTGCCAAATTTAAGTGACTATAAAAATGTTTATTGGTGAAAGTTTAAACATGTGTTTAGCTAATCAAAAACATGACAGATGGTACTTAATTATGTTGGATTTGAGGTTAACTTGTGAGTTATCATTATATACATTACACATGTAATTCAAATGAAATTTGTTTGATTGTTTATAGGCGACCAAAATCATCACTATAAAACAATAGTGAACTTAATATATAAATAAGCATTAAGAAGTTTTTCGCAAAAGCCATTGTAAATCCCAGTCGTCACCTCCAAGTCATAACGGATATTGTCTGTGGTAATACTAACAGCTCCCAAAAGTATTGGGGATATCCTATCTACCAGATAAAATCCAAACGCTAATGGTAAACTAGCCAGTAATCATGAAAAATCAATTAAGGGTATAAAGTTGAGTGCTTACACCTACAACGTCTCAACTCCTACTGCCTTTTACTGTCTACAGTCAGTTGTGGGAAGGCAGTTACCCTTAAAAGTTCTTATAATTGATTAATTCCTGAAGTAAAAATTAAATAAAACCACCCTAATAATATTTCCACAATATGTCACTTCCAACCTCCATCCTTATAAAAAAGAAATAAAATAATAAAATACCTTAAATAAAATGATCTTAATTAGAACTACAAGTCCTACCTTAATATTTCTTATGTAGTTCATACTTCCAACCTCCACAATTTCTCTTGAAAATTTATTCAAAAATAACACGGGAAAGCCTAGACAAGCCCAGATAATTTAAGCCGGTTTTTCCGTCCGGTATACAGAATAAAACTTTAATATTAATTTTAGCTACTTAAAAGTAGCTAGCCACCTCTAGTGACAAAAAAAGATATTTTCCTTATCGGAAATTTATTTTATAAAATATGTTCATATAAATTGTAAAATAGTGTAAAACATTTTCTTAGTTGCCAGTATTTATAGCCATTATTTTCTGGTTTGTTTATGAATAATATAACATTATCCATAAAAGCATTATCGTTATTACAAATTGTTGAAAATAATTTTAGCTGAGATATAATACTGCCTTTTAACAACATACGTGGAATTACATTATTAGGGGGTGGGAAGACCGAGAATGGGAATATTAATTTCCCTTCTCTTATCAAAAACAGCCAGCTTTTGCTTTGCCTTCTACTAAACTAATGTCCAAGTATAAATAGTTAGCATGAACATCATTGTTATTGCTTTTTTCCGTTGCAAGTTCTTTGGGATATATTAAATTTGGTGTAAAGTTCAAGTTATTTATAGCAATTAAATCGTCTGTGTAACGAAAATAATATATATATATATATAAGTTAGGATTTGAAATCTGTTTCAGAAATAAGTTTTCGTAAAAGAACAAATAAAAATTGGCCATAATTGAAGGGAAGTTCGCCCCAATTTGAATACCAATTGTTTCTTTATATACTTGTTCATTGAAAGTAATATAACTATTATAAACACAGAAATGCTGTATAGTTTTACATTAACTTCAGTAAATTTAAATTTTGGAATGTTTATTTCTGTATTTACAATATTATCGAACAAGTCATTAAATACTCTGATTAAATCTTTCAAATCTGTTTTAGTATAGTGTAGTAAAATCATACGTAGATGTATGCACCTGAAACATTTAAGCTATTTAAACTTTCCAAAACTGGAATGTTGTTCTTAATTATCAAAAATTATTATCTGGACTAATTAAAAACAGTGTATTAGTTTCTTCAAACACAACATCCAGAATATTATTAAGAACAGTAGATACAGATTTAGTAACTGTATTTAAAGAATTAGTTATAAATCTGAACGTAATGGGATTTTTAATGGCTTTCTTCATATTAGTAATAATAGTAATTGGGAGTGACATATTAGGATGTTTTAATTTCATTTCTATTTTAGGAATTATAAGAACATTTAAGGGTAACTGCCTTCCCACAACTGGCTGCAGACAGTGAAAGGCAGTAGGAGTTGAGATTTATTGTGGGTGTAAGCACTCAACTTTATACATTTGATTTTCCATGATTTCTGTCTAGTTTAACATTAGCGTTTGGATTTTGTCTGGTAGATGTGATATGTTTTTTTGTTTGTTTGGTTTGAATTTCGCGCAAAGCTACACGAGGGTTATCTGCGCTACCTATCCCTGAGTGAGCAGTGAATGTTAGAGGGAAGGCAGTTAGTCATCATCACCACCGCCAACTCCTGGGCAACTCTCTTACCAATGAATAATGGTATTGACCGTCACATTGGTGGGACGGAGATTCGAACCCGCGACACTCAGATTGCGAGTCGACCCTCCCTAACCACCTAACCATGCCGGGCCACGCATTTGGGAGCTATCACCACAGACAATATACGTTATTGACTTTAAGGTGACGACCGGGATTTAAAATGGATTTTGCAAGAAACTTCTTAATGCTTATTTTATATTAAGTTCATTATTGTTTTATAGTACTGATTTCAATCGCCTATTAACAATTAATGTAAATAATAGTATTGAAGCTGTTCATTTCATTATTTGGCGAAAAATGATGTTAAGGTGTTGATTTACCGCCCTTTCTCCTTTTTCGTATTTTGTAATTTTCCTTGTGTGAATTTTCTACCAATCTTATATACCGACTAATAGCCCAGCTTGCCAGTTGTTTAAATATGCTAATGAAATTCGGGAAAAGTTTATTTGCAATAGATCTAGATGTTTAACTCTACATAGGTCTCAAAGTAATAAGGGTTTTCCTCATTCGATTGAAATAGATCATAGTACAATAAATGGTACATGTAATATTAATGGCTTTTTATTTTACTCCATATTAGTTATTTTTCTCTCATTGCTTCCTACTGTTGAGTTTACGAAAGATTTATTACCCAGTACACATTCTAACCTTATTGCTCTCATATTATTGAGGGAATTTTGCGCCATAAATGATCTGGTTTGATTATTTAACGTTAGGGGATTTTTTTTGGTACTTCAAACTAATAATTCTTGTTTACTTATCGAAAAGTTTAATTTTGCCTGTTTCAAGCCACTGACTTTATTCGGTGATTTGTAATGTGATTCTATGCTACAGAACGTTCTGTTAGATGTGACTATTAAAAACATGATGCTTATGTGCTCTTTGTACACAAAATGTATTTTGATAAATTCCCATTACAAAGATTCTACTGAATGATTCCTTGTAACATAAAAATGTATATTTCTGTTCTCCTATTTAGGGCTATAACATTAATGGTGTTTTTTGTTTTGTTTTTTCTTCGTTCTCAAATAAATAGATAATTTTCACTAATATCAAAAACCATTGCTATCATGCAAGTTTCCGGAAATTTCTAGCAAAACTTTTTCATCGATTTAGGATAACGAACATTATTGCTACAGACCTCACAAGAATCTCCAGAGAAGAAAATTATGTTTAATTTTCAATCCATAAATTTTCCATTCCACAATTTAATCGTCCATGTGTAAAATAATGTTGGGTTTTCTGAAGTGAAAGCATATTTCCTACCTTGATTCTGAAGTCATTAAGTAGCTAGATAATAGCCTAATCATGTATGCAACGGAAGAGTATAATAGGTCATTGTTTTGGATATATTTCCACATTACATACTGCTATGGGCAATATTGTCTAATTAAGCAAATGTTAGTTTCTGTGTATAAAATAATCACTGAAGCCAACACATTTGGCACAAAATTTGTTTACTGAAAAATGGTGCAATTATCTGAATAGTTTACACCAAGAAGTGACAAAATCTATCATAATTTAATTTTTACATTTATTTGACCAATTATTCAAGAATAATAATTATTCTGTTATAATTCCAGTCTTTGAGAAACATTACCTTTATATGTATATACAGAAAATTAACATATTTCCCTTTCCAATAAACATTAACACACTTCTAAGACTATTTTTTTCTATAGCCAGCAGTAGAAATAGGAATAGAAAGCCGTGCTTATACTGAAACGGAATTGTGTAATAAGCCAGTGACTGAAGGTTCTCCAAAATACAGTGAACTTGAGTAAGCTAAAAATATCATTTTTCTACATCTTCCTCTGAATATTTTAAGATATGTGGACGTAGCATGAGGTTTAAGATAGAAGTTAGCAACAATATAGGTCTATTTTCCCACGTTTCTCCTATCTGATATCACATTCGAAAGGGTGCGCAACATTTGTTCGTTCTAATAGCTGTAGGTTATCATTAAAAATATCAACTTATCCTAACTATTTGTTTTTATACTTTAACTCGTAAGTTTAGAGAGACCGCTTACACGGATAAGGAAATATAAACTTGCCTCAAGATCGGAGAGTAAAACGTGGGCATTTTTTAATCTTAACATTTGTCAACAAAGGCATTATTCACTTAATTTTGTAACAGTTTTTCGGACATCATTCTAAACCACAGTTCCATTAGCGGTCTCAACTGGAGGTGGGGTAATTTCAACACCAATAGCCCCAAGTAAGGGGATTCTAATATTGCCACCATCCGTTTGTTCTCCAAGATCATTTTCATGATTGTGAGCTTCAGTAGAGACCGCGTCCCGTACATGTTCTTCTGAATTTGATTGGAGACGTGCATCATTTGGTTTTGGTTTCTGTATTCTGATCGAGCTACGAGTAAGAAAAATCTTCTTTGTGGAAATTGGACTGGGTCTTATTAAATACCTGAAATAAAATTATTGCAGGAAACATTCCAAATATAACTGAACGTTTATACGAGGATTTTCTAGATTATCAGAAAAGTAAATCACTCATAATGTAAAAAAAACCAGCAATAAGACGAAACGTATCAGTCATAACGACGTAATGGTTTTGTTCTATTTTTGGTAAAAAAAAATTAATTAAGGCTCAAAAAGTACGAAAGAAAAAGAATGGTATTTTTTTCTAAAATTGTCTATTTTTTATAATACTAACAATGTTATGCGTCGTCGAATTTTAACGTTGTTTGAATGTTAATTTGAAGTTCTAAATTCAACTTATATAGATTTATTCTTATTTGAGCTTCAGGTCACATTATTTTAGCGTAATTTGGAGTTCTAAATCAGATTTGCACTATATATTCTTAATAGCTTTTTAGATAACATTGTTTTAGCGTTATTTTATAGTTCTAAGTCTAACTTACACTATATCGCCTTCTTGGAGCTTTAGATCACAGCTTGGATTTATCATAACATAGGAAAGGCTGTCTCTCTTCTCTGAGACGTTGTCTAAAATAGATTTATACACATACGTTAATTTAAATGTGTGTAATGATATCAGTAATTATCACATCACAAAAACAGTTAGTTATTAGCATTTCGAATAATAGATGGCGCACTCTTGTTAAATTATAAGTCATCGTTAAATAGAATGATAAGTTAAGGGTTATGAAATTACAAAAAGGTATTCTGGATAAACTACAGGTTATTGCACAGTAAAAATTAAGCTACCATTTAATGAAATAATCAGTTTACGGCTATGAAAAACTACAAGTTATATATGGTAAAACCACAGAGTATTATATTATAAAACTATAGGTTATAAAATTGTTATAACTTCAAAGAAAACATATTTTTAATCTATCAAACTACTTACTCATCAGCATATAAATATTCTTTATCAGATCATGAAACAACTTGTAATATCTGGTTACAAAACACTTTATTACCTCATGCCTTTTACATTTCAGAACAATATATTAAGATGTTTAATTGCAAGTTTTAATAAAACCAGCATAAAATACTCGCTCTCTGCTATGAGATTCAAAGGACCCCTCATGATTCACAGAAGCCCCAATGTACCGATCAAACTCCTCCATTATCCTCAGTTACTTCCATAGCTACCTTAAGGAGGGTTCCATACTCTAAAACAAAACCCGTTAAGTGATATCAGGGCATATGTGCCATGTTATGATGATGATGACTAAGACACTTTCGTACATGATTTCACAAGTACACTGAGTGGTCACAAGTAAATAGACACCTAATTTTTCGTCATTTAACTGATTTATGCTAACTAATTTGTGTTCACAGAGCATTATATAAATGAAAATGGTCCGCACACTAATTATCAACATGCCTAGAACTCAAAGTTCTCTCGAATTGTCAGATTTTGTTAGAGAAAGGATAGTTG